GACTGATCATTAGATTTCTCTCCTCTGATGGATTTCACAGAGCAATGGTATTATGACGTTTAAACAGCTGTGCATAGACTCACAGGAAGCTATTGCAACCTTTTTGGCTCTCTCCAGCCTCTTTTCTTCATATGATTGTAAATTTATATACAAAACCATGCACGATGGTGAAAATGTACTCACTGAGCATAGTGTAACTTTAATTAAACAAGAAATCTGAAGCTACAAAAAAATAAATAAAAATGCACATACAGTATTTCTACAGCTAAGCTACAAAATAAAAAAAGAAAAAAAATGCACATACAGTATTTCTACAGCAGACATGCAGGCAGTCTAATACTCCTTGTACTGAGGACTTTATTTCCATTCTCTGCTGTGATCATATTGGTCTTTTGGGCCAAAGTACTATATCTCCTCTGCTGAAGCATAACAGCCAAAACAGTAGTTCCCTGTCGGATTAGGACATCACTGTCAGACAGTATCCTGCTCCACTCTGAAGGATCTATTAGCAGGACATGTCAGTGCCAAGATGACAGGATGTAAAATTGAGGGCTGTGTCCTTCTGAATTTCTATGCCGCTTTTCTGAGTTTAGAGACAATGAATAAAACAGCAAAACATGACACAAATAGTAAAAAAGTGGTAGACTTGCAGCATCTGAATTTTCTGTATATTATTAGATAGTATTTATAGAAGGAAAATATTCACACTAATTCATGTTTGGCTGCATGGATTTACAGTACACACTGTAAGATGTTAGTGGGTGCCGCACCAGCAGAATATTCTAGCATTCATTAAAATTCTTGTTGAATAGGTGACACTAACTGAGCAATTCAAGCCATTTATTTTTGTCGCATGTGTAAACACAACACTAAAAATGGCCTTGATGCTATAAAAACTAGCTAAGATTCTATTTACATAACTGAGAGCAGAATTTTAACTGCAGATGAAGGTTCAGGGTGAGAGGATGTGGTTTAATGTGTCTGTTATAATCACTGTGATGTCTTACAGTAAAGATACAGTGTGAATCTCAAGTGTGAGACTAAAATCAGACTTGGCTTATAATTGAGACAAAATAAAAACCTTTTTCTAGCAAAGCAGCTGCAAATTATTAGCCAAGCTGACTTTTTTTCCAGAGGTGGCAGTGGGTGCGACTACAAAAATAAATAGGTTATCCATCAACGGCTCTTCTTAACTGTTGAAATAGTGGACAGACGTAACAATCTCTGTGATGCTGTCATCGCAACAGGTCTGCCACTTGCTCGTCTCACGAGGCAGAGACTTTCAGCATATCAAATGTGTCGATCTACACTGACGCTGACACACACAACTCCTCCCTGGACCCCTTTTTTACACTTTGTGTCTATGTTTTCCTTTGGCGCATGTGAAGTTTAGCTTTAGCCAGGCAAGTGAGAGAGCTGAACTGTGCATGAAGTCCAACACAGACATTGCCAAAGAGCAGAAATTCTTCCTCAGAAGAAAAACAGACTACAAGCCTAGTCATCATCATCAGTGTCATCATCATGTTGACTGCTAGACTACAGAGCACTAAAGTGACTACATAAACAGAGGTGGAAACTTGTTCCAGTAGTGATTTTCCCATTTACTGTGCTCCCTAAGTCTCCCTCTCTCTGAATTTCATTATAAGTGTAGACTATGCACATTGGATGGTAAAGGTATTTAAAATCATTTGTGGAAAATACAGATTCTTTCACATTATGCTGTAAAATTGAGGGGGTGCCACCATTTCTGGCACTGGTGCTACCATCTGTGAGAACTGGTGTCACCAGTGCCACCAATATGACATGTTAGTCTGGAGCCCTGCATCCTGGCTTAGCATTGGCTGGTGAGAAGCCGATGGCTGAGTCAAAATTTAGAACTGTTGTCAGCAAGCATTGATCATTTGATAGAGAAAAGCTTTGTACTTTTATGAATCTTTTTTTCAGCTCTCCAATACTTAAATCCCCAAGAGCAACTCCCTAGTGGGCATTAAACTTTTCCATGTTTGTAACAAATTTAAGTAAATTGCACTCAATTAAAATGTCAGAAGAAAGTGTGTGTGGTGTTCCTGAAATAAAGCCCTTATTAAAAAAAATACATGCAGCTAATTGCTCTGGAAACAGTTAGTAAACAGAGTCTAAAACTCAAAAAACCAAATCAGAAAGTATCATAACTGCCATTTAATGGCATCTATAAAATGCAATGCTTTACCATTGGCTTTTCAATAGTACCTGAACATGTGAAGAATAAAATGATAAGTAATCACTGCTTACTCATCACACCCCAAAACCTTTTATTTAATAACTGAACAATTGTAAGATGCTACCCAGTGAGATGGATTTATCACCTATTTACAAAGCTGATTAATTTGCGGTACTCTGTAAACAAATAGATTTTAATAGCGAGTCCCTACAAGCACAATAATGCTGGCAAAAAAGGCATCTCCCAAATTGTAGATTAATTCTAGTAAATATTGTGTTCACAAGTGTATTTCATAGCAACGTGTGTTCCATGTTGGTGAAACCTTTAGCTCTGTCAGCCATCAGTCAGGCTGTGCACACAGCAGCAGGGGTGTGTGGCTGAATGCAGAGGAAGCTGGAGTTCCTCCTTGTCACAGTGAGGGGAGACGGTTGCTGTGTGGATTCTACAATGTCCCCCAACTCCCACTCTCTGCAGACAGCTGATGTTTATCTGCTCTGCCCATCTGGGCCTTGTGACTAAACATCTGGTAAAGCTGCCACTGTGCATGCAGCATTTTACAGTGTGATGACAGTGAAGGGCCACTGCTGTCCATCCATTCTAGAAAGATCTCAAAAGGCAGCTAGGACTTCATCTCTGAAATGTCAAGTCTTATTCTTAAAACTTGACTCAATTATCAGTGTTGTCCAGCACTCAAGACATTTATCTGGCTGTTTAGATCAGCAGTGCACTGTAATTATCCTGATAGCTTTATTAGTTTGTAATCACAACGAGGAAGGATGGGCTGATAAGAAACAAGAAGTAAATTCATTGCCTGCAGCTTTTCTTCTTAATTTTCAGGCCTAAATTATGACCTCATGGAAAATGACATTACGTTATTACCAGTGCTGACAAAGGGAAATGCAATCATCAAATTAAAAAGCTATTTCTGAGCCACTCATGCTGCTTAATCTTAAAGTAATGGTCCCTGTAACATGGACCATTTTCTTTATTGTGATGCTTTTGTGAAAAAAATGTTTGTTAAAGAGCAGGTACTGCACCATCATCATTAATCAGGCTCCCCTTTGAGCATGTGTACCTGTTTGCCTGTTTTGAAGTCTTTTTTTAAAGCAAAAAAAACAAAGTCTGCAGAGTCACCCTTTCCTCTTCCTTCTATTTTAGGCTTTTTTCCCTAGAACGAGGCGTTTCACAATGACTGGCTGGCCTTCATCCATTATGGATGCTGTGTTTTAGGGGGATGATCTGTGCAGGATGACATAAATATCTCCTTTTGGTTCCCAGCAGGATGGGAGAAGCAGCACAAGACAGCCAACTGTGTAGTGTTAGAGCAGTGCATCTTTATTATTTGATTTGATGTCAAAAGTTAAAGAAGGCAAGGACACACGTGACTAGCAGACAGCTAAGCTGTCTATAATTTATGAGTCATGGCAAATCTCTTGACACCTCAATGAGATGGTTCTTGAACTATGTACTCAATGTTACAGAAAAAAGGATTTTATTCAAAAAGAGCCATTATTGCCAGTCATCACCTCCACCACTATTAAAATAATAGCAAAATATCAGCGCTGCACAGTGATGGGTGTGACAGCTGCTACAATGTAGTACAATGTTTTGATCCTGAACAAAATTCTGCCCTTTGTATCCTCTGTTACAGCACAGCGGGCCTCTATATGTATGTTAGCATTCAAAATCAGCATGAAGTAAAGTCTCACAGATGTGTGTGTGTGTGTGTGTGTGTGTGTGTGTGTGTGAGATGGTCAGTTGAAAGAGAGAGCAAGAGAGAGAGCTGCAGGCCTCTCCCACTGTGCCCAGATCCACCGCTCTATTAGTGTGGCCCTGTGGAGGCCCCAGGCTACTGTTCAGAGAACACACACACACACACACACACACACACACACACTCACACATGCTGTGTTTTCATTCCTTGTGGGGACTTTACATTGACTTACAATCATTTCCTATAGACTGATCCTAACCTCAACCATAACCACTACTTGACTAACACCTAACACTTAACCCATGTCGCCACCCTAATATTCAGTGACTGTGTCCCCACAATGTGTGTGTTAACAGGTCCCCATAATGTAAGTAATACAAAGGCACACACACACAGTATCTGGCACCGCTGTTGGTACGAAGGGAGAGATCACAAGGGGTCAAATGTGCAAAGAGCAGATATGTTCATGAATAAAGGAATATTGTTTCTTTGATTATTTGAATGCTGTGTTCTTAATTTAGAACTATATTTCCAAATCTTTTGGTGAAATGCCCAAGAGACATTATACTTGAGTAAAATAGTGTGCGGTTATGAAGTCTATGGAGCAGTGCCAAGCAGCAGTGAATCAGTTATGTTCAAGGCACATAGAAATAATTCATCGCAGTGCTCTGAAAGCAGTTGAGCCATGGGTGCAACACAGAACAGATTTCCTGTGCAGACTGCTGGGACCAGGAATTATTTCTACATGAATTTTAAGATCCAGAATTTAGACTGGACCTCTGACTGCCCAATGCAAATGTGTTAAGTGAATCTGAATATGATTTCAATTAAAATTATGGAGAGCATGACATTGCATCTTGTCGTGTATGTAGTGATTTAATTAGAACGTTCTGTGAGATTCCACAAAGGAGACAAAACCCTGAACTGTGTTGGAGACTAATACAAAGCCCACCCCCTCCTAAAAACAGCTATTTCTGAAATCAGATTAATGTGATTCAGTTTCATCTTTAATTTCCGTTTTTTTCCAGAAGAGGCTCTTCCTGCTGTTTCTTCAGTGTCTCACGCAGCTCTCCTCTCTCTTTGCAGGAGCCCTGCTGTGGAGCCCACTGGGTCAAGGACCGAGAACAAAAAGTAAATGCACCCAAGTGATTCTGGTGGAGCAGAGGAGAGGCAAACTTCTCATCTTTGTTCTTGTCTTACGAGAATGGTCTCTGCCTCAGCTCACCCTTTATCATATTGTATGTAGCCACTGCTCACAGGTGCAGGAAAAGAGTGAAACAAAGAGGAAAGAAGAAAGGCTTCGAGATAAAGAAAGTGAGGCTGCATAATTACTATTACTGAGTTTATTTCAGAGCTAGAAACCATGAGAAGAGACTTTTTGAAGACGACTGAGCTCTGAAAAATATTAAAGCAAAACTTCCGGACATTTGTATATGTGTGTGTGTGGTTATATGTGTGTACCCCTCTCTTATTTTCAAAGGACCTGAATTTGTATTTGCATGTGGATTTAGCCTTTCATTATGACTCTGCGAGGAGGCTTTGAAAGAGGGTGGACTGGCTGCCGCATAGGTGCCTGCTGGGTGTTGCTGCTGGCTTGTTATTCTTTGATCACCTTGGCAGCCAAACCCAAAATGCCAGGCCACACACACCTCAATTCAATACGCATTGATGGGGACATATCTCTGGGTGGGCTCTTCCCAGTGCACGCGAGAGGGAATGACGGCAAAGCCTGTGGGGAGCTGAAAAAGGAAAAAGGGATCCACAGGCTGGAGGCCATGTTATTTGCCCTGGATCGTATCAATAACGACAATGAGCTGCTGCCTAATATCACTCTGGGGGCACGCATCCTGGATACCTGCTCCCGGGATACCCATGCTCTGGAACAGTCGCTGACATTTGTTCAGGCACTGATTGAGAAAGACTCAACTGATGTCAAGTGTCTCAGCGGAGGGCCGCCCATCATCACTAAGCCTGAGAGAGTGGTGGGAGTGATCGGTGCATCTGCCAGTTCCGTGTCAATCATGGTGGCCAACATTCTGCGTCTCTTCAAGGTCAGTTTCTTCCACAGCATTTACTCTTTACTGTTTCTAAACACACTTGAAGAGCACCAGTTTTTCATACAATTTCCTATAACATGTTTGCGAGACTTTCAGCTGAAAACAACATAACCAAAGATAAAACTGTTAAATTTTATCTTTCCATTGTCAATATCACTATACTGAGTGTAGAGTTCATTTTACTGGAAGCGACATACACAAACGCACAACTATCCTTTTGACTTTTTCATTTTCAGAAGCTTAAATCATGGTAATTTCAGACATTTCTTCCCACTGTCTAGAAAACTAGGCACTCATCATTATACAATAATTATCCTCACTAATGACATTAATTTGCCAAGAGTCCTTAGTGTTACCTTCCTCAAATTAATTAGGGGAAGCCATGCATGGGACCATAAGCTGACTGCACTGCTATTGAATATAGTGTGTAAAATGGGCCTCAGCATTGCGTTGACTTATCTGATGCAGACATAATGTGAAAAATGAGAGGAAAACATAAACAATATACAGTATGATGGGACTTCTGCAATACAAGCTTAATGCTGTCAACCCAAACTACAGGCCACAACCAAACCAAAGAGCATAGGAACAGTGTCAAAACAGGTTGTCTTTTTCTCATAATATCCCAATATTTATGCCAGACTAGCGGCAATAAGAAAGATAGTTATGTAACCCTTGCTCTATGAACACAATTACAATTTAATTTAACCCTAAAGGGGCTGAGCATAGTGGAATTCAAATACAACATGTGCTTTATTCACCTAGGATTCATGTTTTTTAAAAGGGCCCTAAAGAACATGAAGACCGAGTTGCCTGTTGTGACATTAATTCAACAGTGTCTCACCTGTCTGCTGCCATCCTAGGGCCAACTAACTGCTCGAGGAAAGAAGGTGAAAAGTACAACATGTCACATCACAAGCCTGACTGACAAGTTACAAGTGATCTAGAATTAATGCTCCACTCCCAAATCCTTTCTGCTTCTATACAATGTGCTGGATGAACCTTCTGACTCTAGGCTAGCACCAATATCCAGCCGTCACAAGCACCAGGCCTCGATAGTCACAAGTCTTTTTCTGGTTTCGTGCACAGTCCTGTTGCACAAACCTCACCTTCATGAGAATGTGCATTCTTCCTGACCACTGAGCAAATAGGAGGTTGGTGACATATTTGACACAGGAACTGTCTCATTGCACAACACTGTAGAAGTCAGCAGTGGTCTGTCTACAAAAAACAGCTTGGTCACTATTCTGCCCCAGTATGTTATGACACAGGCCAGCATCCTCTCAGCCTGTGCAGGTCTTTGTCTTACTGCTATGCATGCAGTGTGTGGGAGATGTTTCCACAGCAGACAATCAGTGAACATCAGTCCACAGTCAGCCTTTCTGCTCAAGCAGAGGTTGGCTGAGACAGCTACACTGCTCAGAAAGTCTCCTATGAGCCTCTTCCTAGCACAGAATATAAGCAGAAAGAGAGATAAATACATCACCAAAAAGTGAGAAATAAACTACCCCGGCCCCGGCGCCTTTACCTTCATGAAGAAGGCAACAGCTGCAGCAAAAGCATTCCACACACAGTCCTCATGACACTTCTAAGCATGTGTCCAGACAGGCTTAAGAGCCTGGGATGACTGCCATACCTTATGCCGTTCCACTACTCTCCAACTCTAACTGTTCCACCAAACCATGCTGTTAATGCTGCCAGACCCCTTGTGGAGGGCACATGAACTGCCAGAGGAGGGTCTGTCCACTCACAGGCGTGTGAGAAGCCTTCACAGTTAAATAGCAAGCCACAGTTCGAGTAGGATTTTGCCAGTGAGTTGTTGTGTGTTCCAAAGAGCATGCCAAATGCTGCAGTAAAAACAAATTATTTAAAAATTTCTTCTTTTTTTTCTTGTCTAAAAGGCACTGAGCTGTGCCATCCAAGACTCAGTGTTCTTGGGCAAAACAGCGAATTTAGTGTTCCGTAAGTATGGTGCTACTCAGATTCTGACAGGCCTTTGGTGGATTGAAAGAGTGCACGTATTCTTCACCCTCTGGGCTGAGGTCAAAGTAAGCTGGAATCCTTTTTTAATGGACAATGGCCTTGCAGGTATTGGCCCGGGGGGCTTGAGTACCTTCTGTGACAGAGCCTTGAGTCCAACCGGCAAATCCAAGGCAGAGAACAATTCTGCAGGATACTGGCACTTCACTTAAACAGGAAACACTATAGTTCAAGAGATGGTTGCTAAAAAGCACCACTCTACAAGCCACTCATGACAAGCGGTAGCTGAGACACACTTTGATATTTGGGACTGACAAACCAGTCTCTAAAATGCACAAACTCAACTCTCAAAGAAAAGAAAAAAAGTAATAAAATGGGGGAAATATTACATAAATATTACCAGAACAGAGAAAAATTCACTTGCCAAGAATTTTAGAAACAGGTAAAAAGAACCCATAGATATCTTAAAACTAGTGCAGCTAGACTAAAAACAACTATATTTATCTGATAGCCTTATAATTCTGCTAATTCTAATTTCAGTATTAGGTTATAATAACTAGTTAACATATTTAAGGACAAAAAGCTTGAAACAAGTGAAATGTTCTAACCAAAAACTGCCTGGTCAGACAAAAACAAACAAACAAACAAACTTAAGTTAGACTTTTTGCAGTGTAGTAGAAGTAGCAGAACACTGGAATTTGTTTGCGTCTATTTCTTGACCTTGTCACAGAAGTAGTGGACAGCCTATATCACTGCCAGCTATATATTTCTAGAATCTCCCGTCTGTCACGGACAATTCAAGCACTGACAGGTAGCGGGGAGCGGCCGCTAGCTGAGCGTGTTCTGTATATCACAGTGCCCACAATGCACTGCTGTAGAATAACCATGAGCTGCAGGTGACTGTCTCTCTGCATAAACATATGGTTCAGATGGAAGGAGGGACAACTGTAGAAGAGGTTAGGTAACACATCCAATCAGGTATAGGGGCAGTGAATCTGTTCAAACAGATAAAACCTTACAAATGCTTCATCAATGAACACACTTCACTCACATTGTCACTGGATGGAAAATCATATACTCCATGTAACACCCGCTGTAGTGTCCCCCTGGCTTGTCTTTTTTTTTGGTTACACCAAATCCAGAACAGAAAGAGAAAAATTAGTTTCAGCAGTGGTGGCAACTTTTCTACAAACATCATTCTTTAGAAAAGTTTTTTCTGTATGTTTGCATTAAGCACTGCAGACAACTAGGAAGCTAATCAGCTAATCTTCTAATTACCCTAGAATTTTTTAATAAGCTGATTTTTAGAAAAATGAGGCAATTGTGATTAAACCAAACTTGATTGTAATTCAGGTTATATATATATATATGACAATTAGAGGATATTTAGAGTCTCTAGTTTTCATTTTCTCTCAGTTCAGTTTAATACAAGGTGACTTACACAAAACTATGCTAATCCTATGGCTACAGTCCAAAGGCATTGTGGGAAATGCAGGTAATCAGTAAGTGAAGTAGAAGAAGATGAATCAGGTTGAGGGTGAGTGGGTGTGGCCAAAAATAACTCATGGAAAACAGAAAAGAGACAGAGAAAACCAACTGATGTCATCTTAACAATGTAGGGTGGATATTCCCGTCAAACAGCCGTTACTATGAGCTTTGAGCCTGGTTATAGTGGTGGACAAACACCATTTGAATTTCACAGGCTGGAATATCAGCGTGCAAAAGCCAACAGATCTATCACAAATTGCTCTACTGCAATTAAATGCAATCCTCTGTGCTGGCTGTAAGGGTATTGACTAATAAGTTAGGCTAACATTGTACTCTCACACGTTGTGGCTTAGCAAGTTCCAGCTCTTTTCTGCATCATTAAAGTCACATAAAACCATAAGTAGGACTCCCTTGAGTGGCTGGGAGGGTTTCACTGCTCACCACTTTCCCCTAATGACTTCAAAAGTTGGGCTTGGTGCCTTTCATCCTATTTCTTTTTCCTCACCTGAGCCTTTGGGATGAAGCTAAATGGATGATAGTGAGTCTCTTTATATATACATATATATATAGTACAGTTTCAGCTGTTCGTGGCTTTAAAACAACTGGATTGTTGTGGCTCCAATTTCTTGTTTCCGTTTTTTGTTTTGGCAGAGTTGCTTTTCAAACCTTCATATTTATTAAATGATTTAATAAACGCACACGAAAGCAGGCAACCTAAACATAATATACCACCAGTGTGATTTTGGAGCTGACTTTATTAACACTGTTTGCCGTCCTCATGAGGCCAGAGGTTTTCTGAGTGTACTGTAATCTATAATGGGCTTCGTGCTTGCAATTGTTTATCAGCTCCTTACTTTGGGCTTTTCCTTATGCTCCTCACAGTCTTCGCATGGAGCAGGCAGGATTCCATCCCCATGCCATGTCATGAATATTTTACTATATGATTACATAATTTACACCTAGGGATTGGGGTTGAAAACTCCCTGTCTGCATCTCCTCATCACTGGGTCCAGCTCTTGGTCTGTTTTCATCAGCTGGATCTTTATTCTGCCATATAAGTAGGAGCAAAGTGCACCAGCACTTGAGGTAATTAGTGGTTGGTTGGTTGCTTATGATACTCAAGTGTACAGTAATTAAAGCCACAGGCTTTTGATTGTGTCTCATACACTTGACTGAAAACACATATACCGACCGGCCTGAGGGCTGTTGCTGCAGCAGTCAGAAACTGCAGGAGCATGCACTGTGAGTGAAGTTGACTTGCTTTAAGACAAGCAGGAGGGTAGCCTGGGCAACTTCCACACAGCAGCCCCCTAAATTAGGTGTAAGCAAGCACGATCCGTCTGCAGGAATAAGTCTTTCTCCTGTGGAGGACTGAGCCTGGAACTGTGAAGACAGATGGAGCAAAGAGAACAGAGATGGTAGCAAGCTCTGAGCAAAAAGAAGAGGGTTAACTGGTTGCCTTTTGTGCTGTCTGTGAAGCAGAGACCTTGCATCCGCCTTTCTCTTTCCTCATTAGAGACAGAAGC